CGTGGAGTTGAGTTATGGGTGGTAGAACAGGGTTTTGGGTGGTAGAGCTGGGTTGTGGTTGGTAGAGCTGGGTTGGGGTTGGTAGAGCTGGGTTGGGGTTGGTAGAGCTGGGTTGGGGTCGGATTTGATGACCTTGAGGGTCTTTTCCAACCAGAACAAATCCAACCTGGGATTCAATGGTGGGGAAGGTTCCTCAGCTCTGCTGCTGCTGCAGGAGCAGCGTTGGGTCTGTCCCCTTCCCCAGCTGTTCCTGCAGCTTGGCTGCAGCCAGACCTGGAAGGCAACTTGCCCAAGACCTTCTCCACCCATTCCTGCAACTGAGGGCCCAGAACCAGATGTCCTGGGAGGATTTGTTTGCCCAGCACCTTCCCAAAACTGCCCAGTTGCCCAATCCTGGAGCTCCTGGAACTGGAGTCACTTCCTGGCAGGGGTTTGGCTTTTTGGACTCGTTGGGCAATGGGCACAGAACATGATGGGGAGGTTCTTGGGGGGAGGAGCCACGTCCAGAGGGAACTCTCAAATAGCCAGTCCTGATTCTCCCTCCCAAGGAGACAACAAGACTCTGGAAACCAACATGAAGCTTCTCCTCGTGGCATCTTTCTGGGGTAAGTGAGGTGGGATTTTCTTTCTGCTTTTCATGGAAGCATGGGAGGGTTTGGGTTGGAGGGACCTTCAGGATCATCTAGATCCAACCCCTCCATGGGCAGGGACCCCTCCCACCAGCCCAGGTTGCTCCAAGCCCCATCCAACCTGCCCTTCAACACCTCCAGGGATGGGGCAGCCACAGCTTCCCTGGGCAACCTGGGCCAGGCTCTCACCACCTCATGGTGAAGAATTTCCTCTTCATGTCCAACCTCAATGTCCCTCTTGCAGTTTTCATCCACCCCCCTCGTCCCATCCCTCCCTGCCCTTGTCCCAAGCCCCTCCCCAGCTTTCCTGGAGCCCCTTCAGGCCCTGGAAGCTGCTCTAAGGTCTCCCTGGAACCTTCTCTTCTCCAGGCTGAACACCCCAACTCTCCCAGCCTGGCTCCAGAGCTGCTCCAGCCCTCCCAGTATCTCCAGGGCCTCCTCTGGACTCTCTCATGTCCTTCTTGTGTTGGGGGCTCCAGAACTGAACTCAGTTCTCCAGGGGGGGTCTCACCAGAGTAGAAGAGGACAATAACTCCAACGCTTGTCCTGCTGTCAGCAGTTGTGTCCTTGCCAGGAGCTGTTGGTCAATGTTTGGGGTCTTGCCAGAAGCTTCAGTTCAGAGCAGAAGCTGCTCTTTGTGTTGAGCTCTTCTGTTATGTTGACCTTCTACAGTGGGTACACAGGCCCCTTCTCCTGAAGATCCAGGAAAAACAGGTCCTGGCAAGCTGACCATGAGCCAGCAGGGTGGCCTGGTGGCCAAGAAGGCCAATGGGCTCCTGGGGGGCAGCAGGAAGACCCTGGGCAGGGCACTCCTGCCCCTCTGGGGGGGACACGTCTGCAGAACTGGGAGCAGTTCTGGGCTCCCCAGGAGGACAAGGAGCTGCTGGAGAGGGGACAGCAAAGGCCCCCAAGATGCTGAGGGGCTGGAGCATCTGGGGAGGAAGGGCTGGGGGAGCTGGGGCTGTTGAGCTGCAGAGGAGGAGCCTGAGGGGGGGTCTCCTCAAGGCTGGGCAGGATCTCCAAGGGGGCTCTTCTCAACAGTGTCCAGGACCAGGACAAGGATCAATCTGGATGACAGGAATCCCAAGGGCTCTATCATGGTGTTCACAGAATGGTCCTGGTTGGAAAAGACCTTTAAGGTCATCAAGTCCAACCACATCCCAACTCTACTGACCATAACCCAGCTCTACCAGCCATTAATCCAACTCCACCAACCACAACCCAATACCACCCAGCACAACCCAACTCTACTCAGTCCACCACTAAGCCATGTCCCTCAGCACCATCTCCATGTCTCTTAAACTCCTCCAGGGATGGAGATTCCACCACCTCCCTGGGCAGCCTGTCCCAGTGGTTCATGACCCTTCCAGTGAAGAAGCTTCTTCTCATCTCCAGCCTGACCCTCCCCTGGTCCAACTTGAGCCCCTCACCAGCATCTTCCCATGGAGAGGCACAAGGCAAAGCTGGGTTGAGGAAGGAACCAACAATGGGCTTTGTGGGTGGCTTTTTGTTTGTTTGCTTTGTCTCCTCCTTGGACATTTGAATTCAATGTTCTTCAAGGTCTTCTCCAACCTTGATGTTTCAGTCACTCTAACAGGGCTCAGAGTCTTGTCTCTTGCCCTGTGTTTTGATCTCCTGAACCTTGATGCTCTTCAGAGCTCAGGAGACTCATTCTAACCTCCTGAATGTCTTCTTTTCCAGCTGTCCTTGCAGGAGTCCTGCTGGCAGGTCAGTATTTTTGGTGGAAAGTCATCAAACATCCTTCAGAATGATGCCATGGCTGGTCTGGAGAGTTAAACGTGCTGCTCAGGTCCAAGAGACCTTGGTCTGGAACCTGTTTCTGTGGCCAATGATCTTCTCTGACCACATTCTCCTGATTAACTGAGGGAGAAGACCTGACTCTACCTGCTGGATGCTCTTGTCAGGTGCAGCTGGTACCTGCTGGAGATCTTGGGGAGGAAGGAGCAGGATGGAGCCAAAATATTGACCAAACTGCTCGTTTTAGCAGAGATCAGCCAGAAGTTGGGGTGTCCTCAATGCTGAGATCTGATCTCCATGAGATGGAGGAAGGTCTGGTGGCCTCTTGGCTCCAGGAGCCAGTCTGGACTTTCTTCAGTCTTTCAGACCTGAAGTTGATTTGTTTCCTGGCGTGATGGGACCTTGGGACCCAGGCTTGGAGAAGGGTTGTGGGTCCTGGTGGGTTCTCCAGAAGGAAGAGGTCTGAGAAGGTCCTTCCCACCCCTGAGTGTTGGCTGTAGGTCCTCCCTGCCAGGAGCTGAGCAGACCCAACCCTTCCCTTGGGGAATGTGTAGGAGTCTCAATTCCCTCCTCCCTGCTCCCAGTGCCTTGGAGCAGCATTTACTGGGAGACACTGGGATTTTACCCAGAACCTGAATGTTGGGGTGGGTTTTCTTTTTGGATCTCCACCTCTCCCATAACAGCTGAAAATGAACCTTGTGGGTTGGATCTCAGGCCAGACTGATGGTCCCACCAACACCTGCAGCTTTTGGCCAACTCAAAACCTCCTTCCCAGCCACCAAAGATTTGGAATGTTAGGATGTCCTGAGCTCTTCTTCCTCCTAGTTTGGTAGCAAAGACCTTCTCTGGGGAGGAAGGACCCTCTTCCTCCACCCCTGCCTTCATTCCTGGATGTTCTTCTCTCTCCAGAAGATGCAGACACCACCCAACTCGAGGTCCGCCTGGTTGGTGGCCCCAACCGCTGCTCTGGGAGAGTTGAGGTGCTTCACGAGGGCGTCTGGGGAACCATCTGTGATGACCAGTGGGATCTTCGGGAGGCCAGGGTGGTCTGCAGGCAGCTGGGCTGTGGGACAGCCCTGGCAGCTCCTTGGGAGTCCAAATATGGAGAAGGAGAAGGCCCAATTTGGCTGAGCGACCTCAACTGCACAGGGACAGAAAGGTCCCTCAGCGAGTGCCAGGCCAGGCCATGGGGGGACAACATCTGCAACCACGTGGAAGATGCCAGCGTGGAGTGCTCAGGTAACCCCCAGGTGTCTTCTACTTTGGGCCACATTGGCCTTTTTCCAGGCTGCAAGTTCTCATCAACCTGGTGGGAGGCCAGAGAGGCAGAATCATGGAAGTATGGAAGGGTTTGGGTGGGGAGAGACCTTCAAGATCATCTGGATCCAACCCCCTTGCATGGGCAGGGACACCTCCCAGCAGCCCAGGTTGCTCCAAGCCCCATCCAACCTGCCCTTCAACACCCCCAGGGATGGGGCAGCCACAGCTTCCCTGGGCAACCTGGGCCAGGGTCTCACCACCCTCATGGTGAAGAATTTCTTCATGTCCAACCTCAATGTCCCTCTTGCAGTTTCGAGCCATCACCCCTTGTCCCATCCCTCCCTGCCCTTGTCCCAAGTCCCTCCCCAGCTTTCCTGGAGCCCCTTCAGGCACTGGAAGCTGCTCTAAGGTCTCCCTGGAGCCTTCTCTTCTCCAGGCTCAACACCCCAACTCTCCCAGCCTGTCCCAGAGCTGCTCCAGCCCTTGGATCATCTCCATGGTCTCCTCTGGACTCTCTCCATGTCCTTCTTGTGTTGGAGGCTCCAGAACTGGACGCAGTTCTCCAGGGGGATTTCACTGGAGCAGAGTAGAAAGGGACAAGCCCCTCCTTTGACCTGCTGGTGACACAACCCAGGACAAGGGTGGCTTTGGTAGCTCATGTTGAACCTCCACCATCACCCTTAAGTCCTTCTCCTCAGGGCTGTTCTCCATCCATCCTCCTGGGTTTGCCCTGACCCAGATGGAGAATCTTGTCCTTGGCCTTGCTGAGCTTCCTGCAGTTTGCTCAGCTCTGCTTCCTACCCTACTTGACCCAGAGAAGCTTCGTACCACCTCCTGGTCCTGGAACCACCTGCAGAGCTGGGAGAGGACACAGACCACGTCCTTCCTTCCCTGATGCCCCTCAATCTTCTTCTCCCTTCATCTTCCGAAGCTTTTGACAAGCATTTGGGATGAGCAGGTTTCTTTGGTGCACCATGGGAGGTCCTCCAGGTGATCAGGGCCATGAAGACATGTCCCAAAACTTCTCCTTCCTTTCCTTTTTATTTGGCAGGAACAGAAATCCCTGAGCCAGGTCCAGTCAGGCTGGTGGGAGGTCCAAACCGATGCGCGGGGAGGGTCGAGGTGCTTCACCAAGACAAGTGGGGCACCGTGTGCCGGGACCACTGGGACCTCAACGATGTCCAAGTTGTCTGCAAGCAGCTGGGCTGTGGGGAGGCCCTCCTGGCCCCCACTGGAGCCAAGTTTGGAGCAGGGTTTGACACCATCTGGTTGGATGATGTCAACTGCACCGGGACGGAACCTGCGCTCTCCGAGTGCCCAGCGAGGCCGTGGGGGGAGCACAACTGCTACCACCAGGAAGATGCCAGTGCCATTTGTTCAGGTGACCCTTCTGTCCTCCCATTTTGGCCAGCCAGGCCTTAGGGTGTCCTCACAGTCAGCAAACCAAGTTTGTTCTGGTTGGAAAAGATGTTTTAAGATCATTAAGTCAATCAAAACCCAACTCTACCAACCAGAACCCAACTCTACCAACCACAAGCCAACTCTGCCAACCATTAACTCAAGTCTACCAGCCACTAACCCAACTCTACCAACTTCAACCCAACTCTACCAACTTCTAACCCATCTCTACCAACTTCTAACCCATCTCTACCAACTTCTAACCCATCTCTACTGACCACAACCCAACTCTACCAACCTCTAACCCAACTCTACCAAGCCCAGTGCTTCAACGATGTCCCTCAGCACCACCTTTAGGAGACACAGACACCACCCACAGCCTGACCACGTCCTCTCTGGATGTCTCTGCAGAATCAGGGATCAACATCTCCACCTCAGTCCGCCTGGTTGGTGGCCCCAACCGCTGCTCTGGGAGAGTTGAGGTGCTTCACGAGGGCGTCTGGGGAACCATCTGTGATGACCAGTGGGATCTTCGGGAGGCCAGGGTGGTCTGCAGGCAGCTGGGCTGTGGGACAGCCCTGGCAGCTCCTTGGGAGTCCAAATATGGAGAAGGAGAAGGCCCAATTTGGCTGAGCGACCTCAACTGCACAGGGACAGAAAGGTCCCTCAGCGAGTGCCAGGCCAGGCCATGGGGGGACAACATCTGCAACCACGTGGAAGATGCCAGCGTGGAGTGCTCAGGTAACACCACCCTTTCCTTCCCCACCCTGCAAGTGTAGGATGACAGATCCCACCACACACGTGACTCCTGCCTGCATCAGGGTTGGTCTCCAGCTCCAGGGCAGCCCTGTGGTGGGGACAGGAGGATGGTGAGACACTGGACCAGGTTGCCCAGGGAAGTTCCATCTCTGGAGGTGTCCAAGGGCAGGTTGGATGGAGCTTGGAGCCACTTGGGCTGGTGGGAGGTGGCCCTGCCCATGGTGGGACTGGATGTTCTTTAGATCATGGAATGGTTTGGGTTGGAAGGGACCTTAAAGACCACCTGGATGATCCACTAGATGAACTTCAAAGTGGCTGTAGCATCCTTGGAAGTGTCTTGGTTCTTGGAACAACCTGGGCTGGTGGGAGGTGTCCCTGCCCACAGCAGAGGGTTGGATCAAGAGGATCTTGAAGGTCCTTCCAACCCAACCCATTCCATGATGCTATGGTAAGAGAGGGACCCAACTCATCATCTCATCAACTCATCTCATTGCTGATCTTGCTCCGTGACCGAGGGAGGACACATGGATGTAGCTGATTCAGGGGCAGGATTAAATCCTCTCCTCCCTGAGGTTGCTCTGGTCCCTTGTCCCACCTCTGGGTGGCAGAGTGGTTAGAATCAGCAGACTCCTTGAAGGAGACACCCAGTAGAGCCTGAAGTTTTATTTGGAAGGGACCTCTGGAGATCATCCAGTCCAGCCCCCCTGGAGAGCAGGGTCACCTCCAGCAAATCCCACAGGAACATGTTGAGATGGGGCTGGGATGTCTCCAGAGAAGGAGACTCCACCACCTCCCTGGGCAGCGTGTCCTGGGGCTCAGAGAAACAGAGTCACAGAGTGGTGGGTTTGGTAAGAACCTCTGGAGAACATCTAGTCCAACCCCCTGCTAGAGCAGGATCATCTACAGCACATCCCACAGGACCTCTGGGATGTCTCCCGAGAAGGAGACTCCACCTCATCCCTGAGCAGCCTGTTCCAGGGCTCAGAGTCACCTGAGCCTTTGCTCAGCTTCCTACAGGTCTAACCTAACATCCTCTTGGCTTTGGTGCAGAGGTTGACCTTCCTCAGGAAGGTCCAGTCCGGCTGGTGAACGGCCCCAACAAGTGTGCTGGGAGGGTTGAGGTGCTCCACGAGAACCAGTGGGGCAGCATCTGTGATGACCACTGGGACATGAAGGACGCCAAGGTGGTGTGCAAGCAGGTGGGCTGTGGGTCACCCCTGGCAGCCCGAGGAGGTGCCCACTTTGGACGAGGTCCTGACACCATCTGGCTGGATGATGTGGAGTGCAATGGAACAGAGGAGACCATCTTTGACTGCCAAGCCAGGCCCTGGGGTGAACACAACTGCTACCATGGAGAGGATGCTGGTGTCTTTTGTGCAGGTAACTCCATGTCCACATCTGCCCCATGTTCCTCTACAGCTGATGGTCCACATCTGCCCCACCATGGTTCCTTCTTGGGCTGCAGGTCCACATCTGCCCCACCATGGTTCCTTCTTGGGCTGCAGATCCACATCTGCCCCACCATGGTCCTTCTCGGGCTGCAGATCCACTTCTGCCCCACTGTTGGGCACTGAGCTCTTGAAGGGCAGGAAGAGGGAAGGTGGGAAGACCTGTGCAGTTCCTGGGGCAGGAGGTCACCATGAGCATCTGTGGTGGCAACAGGAGCTTGTCCAAGGCTCCCACAGGGTCTTCTCCAAAGCAGGGTCGGGTTGGGTTGTTCTTTGGGTCCCAGCAGCCACAAACACGTGGGTACAACCCAACCTCAAGACCCCCTTGAGGACCAGAGTCCTTCTCACTTCTAGAAGGCAAGTCTGGTGTCAGACAGATCCAGGGAGAAGATTGTCCTTCACTTTGCTCCCTCTCCCTGCAGTTAACAAGATCTTGGATGAGCCAGAAGCACCTTGAGGGCCAGACCAGCCCCACCAGACCATGTCCAATCTTGCCACAGGAAGATGGACCAGATGAGAAGACAAAGGGCAGGGATGTTTCAGAACCATCAGGAAACCCAGGGCTTGGCAAAACCACCTCACCCTTTAGAAGATCTGCAGACCTGGTGGGAACTTCACTGGTGGAAAACCCACCTCAACAGGTTCTTCCCACCAAAAAGCAAACGTCACAATAAAGTTCTACAAAAACTGAACATCTGGTGGTCTCATAAATTGCTGGTGGGCATCTGCTGCCTGGCCACGAGTCTGGCAGGGACGTGTTGGTCCAACGTGATGAAGATGTGTCCATATCCATGTCCCAACCATGTCCTGGGCTGTGTCACCAGCCACGTGGCCAGCAGGTCAAAGGAGGGGATTGTCCCCTCTGCTCTGCTCTGGTGAGACCCCACCTGGAGAATTGGGTCCAGTTCTGGAGCCCCCAACACAAGGAGGACATGGAGAGAGTCCAGGGGAGCCACAGAGATGATCCCAGGGCTGGAGCAGCTCTGGGACAGGCTGGGAGAGTTGGGGTGTTGAGCCTGGAGAAGAGAAGGCTCCAGGGAGACCTTAGAGCAGCTTCCAGTGCCTGAAGGAGCTCCAGGAAAGCTGGATCCACTTAGATGTTCTTCAGGGTAGCTGCTCCATCCCTGGCAGTGTCCAAGGGCAGGTTGGATGGGGCTTGGAGCAGCCTGGGCTGGTAGGAGGGGTCCCTGCCTATGAAGGGGGTGGGATCTAGATGATCTTGAAGGTCCCTCCAACCCAAACCATCCCATGATTCCATGGTCTGAAGTTCTCTGAGGTCTCTTTAAAGAGTCTCTCCCACTTTTTATGGATCCCATAAATCTCCAGCCCCACCCCTTTTATTTTCCTTTCACTTTCACCCTCGAGGTCACCTGGGAATCCAAGGGTAAGTTTTATGGTCAGGATTGCAGTGGCTGGGGAGGTCCAAAGGTGCCTTCAGAGGCTGGAGAGCACCCACAGGAGCTGCTGGATTTCTGGAGCTCCAGGTTTGGATTTTTCTCCCTCCACTCAATTATTCATTTGGTTCCTTCTCTTGGGATGATCTCTGGGTGGTTCCTCCTCCTTCTAGATCCTGGGAATCTCGTTGGTGGGTGGGTGGGCTTGGAATCTGGTCCCCTTGTCCCACTGGTGGAACCGTCCTGGTCGTGATTTATTTTCTTCTCCTGTAAAAAAAGTAAAATAGAAGGAGGTTTTGGGAAATGTTGGGGTCGTTTTGGGTGATGATGAGGAGGGAAAACTCCAGGAGGACATTTCACTTGGGTGGTGGCCCAGAAACCACCAGCCAAGGACCCACCCCCTGGTGGGAGGAGAGAAGCAAAGGTGGGACCTGCCTGGAGAACCTCGAGTTCTTCAGGAGGAGGAGGAGGAAGGAGGAAGAGGAGGAAGGAGGAGGAGGAGGAAGGAGGAAGGAGGAGAAGGAAGAAGAGGAGGAAAAAGAGGAGGAGGAGGGGAAGGAAGAAGAGGAGGAGGAGGAGGAAGAAGAGGAAGAGGAAGAAGAGGAGGAGGAGGAAGAAGAGGAGGAGGAGGAGGAAGGAGGAGGAGGAAGGAGGAAGAGGAGGAGGAGGAGGAGAAGGAGGAGGAGGAGGAGGAGGAGGGGGGGGGGGGAAGAGAGAAGAAGGAGGAGGAGGAGGAGGAGGAGGGGGAGGGAGGAAGAGGAGGAGGACGGAGGAGGAGGAGGAGGAAGAAGAGAAGGAGGAGGAGGAAGGAGGAGGAGGAAGAGGAGGACGAGGAAGGAGGAGGAGGAGGAAGGAGGAGAAAGAAGAGGAGGAAGGAGGAGGCAGAAGAGGAGGAGAAGGAGGAGGAAGAGGCTCTTTCTCAGGAGAAGCTGCCACCTCTTCTGGGTTCCTGAGGTGGGTTTTAGACAGAACCTTGATGGTTTTGTTTAAATTCTGTGGGTTTATGTTTCTTTTTATTTCATTTTTATCTTAATTTAAATTGATATTTGTTTTATTTTTATTGGTTTATTTTTATTTTCATAATTTGATTTTTATAATTTGATTTTTATTCCTAGAATTGTATTGGGTTTTTTTTCAAGTATTTATTTTTATTTACAAGTTGCTTTAAAATCTTTTTTATTTTTACTTTTATTTAAGCTTTATTTTTATTGTGATTTTTATTTTAATTTTCTTTTTATTGATTTTTTTTCCTTTCCCTTTTGCTTTTTCTTTTCCTTTTCCTTTTTTTCCTTTCCTTTCCTTTTCCTTTTCCTTTTTTACTTTTCCTTTTTTCCTTTTCCTTTCCTTTTTCCTTTTTTTCTTTTCCTTTTCCTTTTTTCCTTTCCTTTTCCTTTCCTTTCCTTTTTTCCTTTTTCTTTTCCTTTTTTCCTTTTCCTTTTCCTTTTTTCCTTTCCTTTTCCTTTCCTTTCCTTTTTTTCTTTTTCTTTTCCTTTTTTCCTTTTTCTTTTCCTTTTTCCTTCTCCTTTTTCCTTTTCCTTTTCTTTTCCTTTTCCTTTTCTTTTCCTTTTCCTTTTCCCGTTTCCTTTTCTTTTCCTTTTCCTTTTTCCTTTTCCTTTTTCCTTTTCCTTTTTCCGTTTCCTTTCCTTTTCCTTTTCCTTTTCTTTTCTTTTTCCTTTTCACTTTCCTTTTCCTTTTCCTCTCAGCTGTGCAACCCCTCACATCATTTATTGTCCATTCCAGCCCAGACTTGTCTTCTACATGGATATGAAGCTCTTGGTCCAGCTGGCAGCATTTGCCTTCATCTCCCTCTTGGTGCCCACACATCATCTCACTGAAGGTAATTTTGTTCCTCAGGAGATTATTTTTACTCTCCAAATCCATGTCAGGGTCTCTGATGGGTTGGAACTGGTGACCCTTCCTCCTGCACTGGAGGAGAACCATTCATGATGGTGGTAGCACCTCCATGAGAAGATATTTAAGAAGAGTGGGGAGAAAAAATAAAACCCATGGTGAAGACCATGCTTGGGCAGGTTGTCCTACAGGTTAACCTACCCCATGGAGGTCCATGGTGGAGCAGATGTTCCCCAGGAACCCATGGGGGTCCATGGTGGAGCAGATGTTCCCCAGGAACCCATGGGGGTCCATGGTGGAGCAGATGTTCCCCACATGTTGTCAACACCCCAAAGGGAGGTGGGGAGGTCATTTTGACTTGCAGAATGGTTGGGTGCAGGTCATCTGGAATGGGGGTGGCCTTGAACCACTGGTTTTAAGAAGGGCAACCAACTGGTGAAGGGTCTGGAGAACAAGTCCCATGAGGAGAGGCTTCTGGAGAAGACCTCTGTGTTTCTCTCTTGTAGGGAGTGTCCATGATCCCCTGCTGGTCCTGGATGGTTATGAGGATGGTGGGATTCGACTCAAGTGTTTCTCTGAGAGGTCGTTTGCTGAAGTCCAGGTGCTGTGGAGAGATGGTCAGGGAGGCACCACCAGTGGGACTCCTGTGGCCACCACTGCCAATGCCACCAGCTCCATCGTCCTGAAACCAGGGGCTGGAAACTCCATGTCCTGCAAAATACTTGATAAAGAGCTGAAGACGTGGACGGAATCTTCAGTTGTCATTGCAGGTTGTGCCGTGGAACCGGGGGGGTGGGGTGGGTTGGAGGGACCTTCAGGATCATCTGGATCCAACCCCCCATGGGGCAGGGACACCTCCCAACAGGGGAGCTCCAAGTCCCACCCAACCTGCCCTTGGGCACCTCCAGGGATGGAGGAACCACCTTGAGGAGCATCTAGTGGATCATCCAGGTGGTCTCTAAGGTCCCTTCTCACCCAAACCCTTCCCTGAGCAAAAACCTAAAAATGCTAACTATTAACAAATTATTATTATTATTATCATTATCATCATCATCATCATCATTGTTTTTATTGTTTTTATTGTTTTTATTGCTATTATCATTGTTATTATTGCTTTTATTAATGGTAATAATAATAATAAATATTGCCCAGTACATTTAATAATTAATATTAATAAAAATAATATCCAAAATAATGGTTTTGAACTTGAGGTGAGGAATCAAAGTATAAAGTTGCTGCTTCAAGGGAAGTTCTAATTGATGATCTGAAATAATTTCACATATAATAATATATAATAATACAATGATAATAACAATAACAATAACAATAATTTATAGCAACAACAAAACAACAATAATGATAATGATAATAATAATTATTATAATAACAATAATAATAATAACAACAACCAATCTAATAATCTAATTTAACAATAATATAATTTGTATAAAGATTAATTTATCTTAACTTTAGGCAGGTCATCAAAATATAAAGTTGATCGTTCCAGGGAAGTTCTAACTGATTATCTGAAATAATAATTAATAATAATAACAATAATAATAATAATAACAACAACACAATAAATATATAATAGACAATATATTAACTAATATAATAATAAAGAACAGAATCATTTAATATTAGAACAATATTATTTATATACAAATAATTCTGTGTAACTTCAGGAGTGTAATCCAAGTTTAAATTTGCTGAAGGAAAGTTCTAACAGATTATCTGAAATATGTTCATAGATTAATATTAATATTAATGATGTATGATATAACAATACATAATAATATCATTATTCAATTGCTGATGACATTATTTCTGTCCAAATTAATTCTAAGTCCAGGCATGGAATGAAAGCACAAGGTTCCTGGTTCAAGGGAGGTTCTAACTGGTGATCTGAAGTGTTTGAATATATAACAATACATTTAATAGCATCTAGAAAATGCTATAATCAAATAATAATTTATTGTTATTTTAATAACTATTTTAAATATAATTATTATAATGTTTTATATATAATTAATTTTGTTTAACTTTAGGCATGTAATTAAAATATCAAGTTGCTGGTTGAAGGGAAGTTCTGATTGATGATCTGAATTAATGTCATATATAATAATAATAATAATAACAATAATAATAATACAATAAATAGATAATAGGCAATATAATAAATAATATAATAAAACCATAATTTAATATAACAATATGATTTATATACAAATAATTCTCTTTAAGTTTGGGCATGGAATGAAAGCATAAAGTTGCTGGTTGAAGGGAAGTTGTAATTGATGGTCTTAAATAATTTAGTATATAATAACAAATTATAATATAGAGTAATAATTATATAATAATAACAACAATTATTATTACAATAATAATAGTGATAATAATGTTTATAATAACGATGGTTATTATTATAATGATTATGGTAATAATTATAATAATGATGATAATAACAACAATAATGATGATGATGATGATAAATCAATGTTGTTTACCTTGATGTGTATAATTGACATAGAAAGGTGCTGGTCGAAGGGATCCCAGAATTCATGAGGCTCAAAAAGCCTCTGAGACCCTCAAGTCCCCCCTGTGACCAACACCCCCACATCTCCAGCCCAGGGCACCAAGTGCCACCTCCAGCCCTTCCTGGAGCACCTGCAGGGCTGGTGCCTCCACCACTGCCCTGGGCAGCCCATCCCAAGGTCTCATCACCTTCTCCATGAGGAGGAGCTTCCTGATGTCCAACCTAAACCTCCCCTGGAGCAGCTCCAGGCCCTCTCATCCTGTCACTGGTTTCCCGGGAGAAGAGCCCAGACCCCACCTGAGCAAGACCCTCCTCAGATTGTAGAGAGTGAGAAGGTCCCCCCTGAGTCTCCTCCAGGCTAAACAACCCCAGGTCCCTCAGCCTCTCCTCAAACTTCCCCTCCAGTCCCTTCACCAGCCTTGTTATCTCCCCGGGACCAACATCTCAAGACCTTTCTTGGAGTGAAGAGCCCAGAACTGGACATGGGAAAGGAGGAGAATCATCCCCACTCCTGCTGGCCACACTGTTCCTGCCACAAGCCAGGTGGCCTTCTGAACCCCCTGGGCACCCTGCTGGCTCGTGTCCCACCAGTTGTCAACCAGTACTCCCAGTTCCCTCTCTGCTGGGCCACTCTCCAGCCACTCTTCCCTCAGCCTGTAGCGTCGCTTGGGGTGATTGTGGCCAAAGTGTTTAGACCCGACACTTGGTCTTGTTGAACCTCTTCCCGCTGGGATCTCTAACTGATGTTCTGGGCTCATTTGCAGATGTCTTCTTCCCTGCCACCTCCCCCTGGTTGGCTGCCTTCATGGTCATCCTGTTCTTGGGCGTCTTCCTGGTTCTGGCTGCAGTTTATCAACTCCGGAGTAAGTTCCACCTTTGATGCCAAAGGGATGGAAGCTTCACCCGAGCATCCATCCTACCATCCAACCACCCACCGAGACGATGGAAGCTGCTTCTGATCCAGTTGGAGGCACCACCACCATGTCCAGAGTTATCCGGGGAGGTTCCAGCCTTGGTCAAGGCTTGGTTTCCTGGTGACACCAAACTGGATGGGGTGGTGACACCCCAGAGGGTTGTCCTGCCACCCAGCGTGACCTGGATAGGCTGAAGGGTTGGGTGGGAAGGAGGAACCTCGTGAGGTTCACCAAGGGCAAGTGTGAAGTTCTGCATCTGGGGAGGAACGAGCCCAGGGGGCTGCACAGGGTGGGGAGCAGCTCTGGGGACAAGGACCTCAGGGTCCTGGTGGGCAACAGGGCTCGTCCCACCTCCTGTCCTGGCTCCTCCTCCTTTCCCAGCCCAAAGGAGGAGGTTGGAGGGGTTGTGTCCATCAAGGAGCAGCTTCTGGCCCAAAGTCGTGTGGCTGAAGCCACCGTGAGCTGGAGGGTTGGGCAGGAGGAGCCTCGTGAGGTTCAGCCTGAGCAGCTGGGGAAGTTCTGCATCTGGGGGGGAACGAGCCCCTGGAGCAGCACAGGGTGGGGGGACCTGCTGGGGAGCAGCTCTGGGGACAAGGACCTCAAGGTCCTGGTGGGCAACAGGGCGACCATGAGCCAGCAGGGTGGCCTGGTGGCCAAGAAGGCCAATGGGCTCCTGGGGGCACTGAGTGTGGGCTCAGGGACCATCCAACCAACCTCTCCCTCTGCCCACAGACCTCATCCAATCCTGCTCGGTGCTGGGGGGGCTGCTGGGCCCTGTGACCACCATCAAGATGAAAAATTCATTTTTAAAGCCTAAAATAAGAAGAAAATAACATTTTTTGTTCTCTGTCTCTCTCAGAATATAACAAAACGATGATCCGGGAAAGTAAGTCACGTTCAAAGCATCTTTCAAATGCATATTAATTAATTAATTCCTATTGATACTTATTTTCATCATGAACATCTTGAAGGTCACAAGCAGCAGGAGAAATACTGGTATAAACCAGGGGGTTAATGAGTTCATTCGTTAACCAAGGGGTTAATGAGTTGGATTCCTAAGGTTGGTTTATGAAGAATTAGAGATTTTTGCCTTTTCTGTGCTAAAAAAAATGATGATTTCCAGAAAAATGGAGGTTTTGGGGCAGTTTTCCCAGCTGTGCTGTGTTAACCCTCAGCAGATGGACAATCTTCAAGGCAGGATTTTCAAGGCAGAATTTTCAATTAAAACCTTCAAAGGCAAAATTTTCAATCCAAAAATCTCAAGGCAAAATTTTCAAGGTGAAATTTTCAACACAAAATTTCCAAGCTCAATTTTCTAAGACAAATGTTTTAAGACAAATTTTTCAAGGCAGGATTTCCAAGGAAAACTTGTGAATACAGAATTTTCAAGACAAAATTATCAGGGCAGAATTTTCAAGGCAAAATTTTCAACACAGATTGTTCAATGGAGAATTCTTGATACAAAATTTGCAATGAAAAATTGTCAACACAAAATTTCCAAGGCAAAATTTTCAAGGCAAAATTTTCAAGACAGACTTTTTATTGCAGAATTTTCAAGGCAGACTTTTTAAGGACACAATTTTATGAGGCAGAATTGCAAATAGAAAATTTTAAAGCCAGAATTTTAAGTTTGGAATTTTCCAGACAAAATTTCGAGGCAAAATTTCCAAGGCAAAAAAATTTCACGACAAAATTTTCAGTGCAAAATTCTACACTAAAAATCTCTGAGGCAAAATTTCTAAGGCAGAATTTCCGAGGCAACATTTTCCGGGCAAAATTGGGAAAAGAAAATTTGAAATGCAGAAATTTTAATTCAAAACTTTCAGGGAAAAAATTTTCAAGGGAAAATTGTCAGGCCCAAATTTTTAAGACAGAATTTTCGAGGGAAAAATTTACAATGGACAAGTTTCTTCCAACTGTACCTGGAGGTACCTGGAAAACATTTTTTCTATAGTTTTTTAATATTACAAAAAAAATATATTTTTAAAACTGTTTTTGTTTGAATTTTCATTATTATTGTTGACTTTTAAATTATTTTTATTAGATTGTCTTTTGAAATTATTTGCCTTCTCTGTTCTTTTAAAGTCTTACTGATTGGAATTGGTTTTAATTTTTATTTTTAATGCACTTTCATTTTTTGAATGAATTTTTGGGGGTAATTCTTAAAAATATCATTTTTAATATCTTCAAATATTTCTCTCCACAGAAAATGCTCAAAATGAGATTCAAAAAGGTAAGAGGGGGAGGGATTTTTTACCTCTTCAATCTCTCTGGTCCTTTAGAGCAGCTGAAAAGCTGAGCTGAGGAAATCATGGGTGGTCTTGAAGGTCCTTCCAACCCAAACCATTCCATGATGATTCTATAATAACAATCTTGTCTGGTCTCATGATCAGGGAGGTGGTTTCAAGAGAAGTTCTCCTTTTCTTATGGCCTCCTGGTTCCCTACAAGTCTCTAATTCTTTCTAAAAGTATATTCATTTTTCCCAAGGATGATGGGATGGAATAATTAATTAGGTCAGTTTTGGTCACCTCTCTGGTCACTTCTCCCAGCAGGGTTGTAGCTGTGACCCTTTGTGTTTCTGGAGCAGAAGAAGTTAAGGAGACCCAACCAATGGCCTTGGTTCTCCATACCATTCTCCACCAGGAACTAAAAACATGGAGAATGTTCAGTCCTAGAAGAAGGCACTGACTGGAAAACATGTTCATTCCAGAACGTGCAGCTGCTTAGAAGAGATTTAACTCCAAAGTCAAATTCCCAGAAGGAAAAGTGGTTCCGTCCTGGCTCAAACCAGTTTCACACTGGAAGTTCTCAGGGCTCTCTAAATGCTTGAGGGTTTTGATTAGAGATCATGGAATCATGGGCTGGGTTGGGTTGGAGGGGACCTTTCCAGGTCATCTAGGAGGGAGATCTTCAACTAGACCAGGTTTCTCAGAGCCCCATCCAACCTGACCTTGAATGTCTCCAGAGATGGGGCCTCCCCCACCTCTCTGGGCAACCTGGGCCAGGGTTTCACCACCCTCCTAGTGAAGAGCTTCTGGGAGATCCTTTCCAGGGATCTCCTGGGTGTTCCTGTGTCCACCTCATGTCATGGGCCCAGCTTTCCAGGTCCTTCTGGATGGATCCCTTCCCTGCAGGGTGTCACCCCCACCACACAGCCTGTTGTCATCAGCAGAACTGCTGAGACACTCAATCCCACTGTCCCTGTCTCCAACCAAGGTGTTGGTTGTGTGATACCAACATACGTGTCGATACAAGCAACAAAGATGATGATGATGATGATGATGATGATGATGATGATGAAGAAGAATCATAGAATCATGGAATCATAGGGGTTTGTAAGGGACCTAGAAGACCATCAAGTCCAACCCTTCTGCTGCAGCAGGAACATCTGGAGTAGGTCCCCCAGGAACACACCCCGATGGGCTGGGATGTCTCCAGGGATGGAGGCTCCACCACCTCCCTGGGCAGCCTGGCCCGGGGCTCTGGGACCCTCAAGGTCAACAAGTTCCTCCTCAGCTTCAGGTGGAACTTCCCATGTTGTCACTCGGTGCCGTTTCCCCTCCTCCTGTCACAGGCACCACGGGACAGAGATTGTCCAGTTCCTGACACCCCCTGCAGGTGTTTCTAGACGCCCATCAGGTCCCCTCTTGACCTTCTCAATACTTTTTCTCTTTCAGAGATCGACCAACTCCGGGAGAAACTGGGTAAGAGCCAATTTTTCTCTCCTGATGTTGGTTCTGGGGCATCTTGGGGCTTGAAGGATCCTCCAGGATTCCCTTTGGGTGTAGAAGAACCTTCCCCATTTCCAGGACCTGCTGGTAAAACTCAGGGGAACATCGACCGACCAGGGGACAATTTCCAAAGTCCCCTCTCCATTTCCTGCCAACATTCAACCCTCAGCTCCTCCCACCTTGAAATTCTCAGACACGTTTTCCTGGGTTTGATAATTTCCTATTCATTTTGATATATTTTTACCTTTATTAAATGGCATTTATTATTTTTAATTATTTTTCTTCGTATTTTTCTAATTATTTTTCCCTCTTCCTTTGCTTTTCAGAAAAGGAGGAGGAGAATTTGCAGAAGGGTAATAAAAACTCATCCTTTTCAAAGATTAATTCCCCTCATTCCAACCTAAAAAAACCAATGGGAAGAGGATTTGATATCACTCTGTTAATTAATTAATAACTAGAATGAATCCATTAGATAAATTCCATTAAAAGTCCATTCAATCCATTTATCTAATGGATTAATTCTACATATTAACACATGAACAGTCATCCTATAGGTATATTAATATACATAAACAATTAATCCTATATATTAATGTATAATAGATTAGTCCTATATATTCATATACACATAAGCAGATTAATTATCTCTATATTAGTGTTTAAATTAAAATATAATTCCTATATATTATTTATAAAAGGATTAATTCTGTATATTACTTAATGCATAGAGATTGGTCTTTCATATTATTTATATTATGATAACATATAATAAAATAATATTAATATTATTATATTAAAATCATTTATTAACATATAATTAATCATATCTATGTAATTAATTATATACAATATTTAATTATATATAGTGTATATATAATATATAATTAATCATATATATTGATGTAAGTAGATTAATTAATTCTATATCAATACTTCAATTAAAATATTACTTCTATTTATATTAATATTTACATAAATTGACTACTCCTATTTATTAATTAATACATAAACAGTAATCCAATGTATATAATGTATAATTCATATATACATAACCAATTAATCCTAGATATTAATAGATATATTAAATGATTAATTCTATATATTAACATGTTAATAAAGGGATTAATTCCATGTATTAATATATCCATCGATTAATTATATATAATTGTATACCTAATAAAATTAATGCCATATATTAATCTATGCATAAATGGTTTAATATTTCATCTTAATTAATACATAAGCAGATTAATTCTATGAATATACTAATTAATGGCTCCACCCTATATGTTAATATATGCATAAGCAGATTAATTCTATGGAATAATATATTAACACATTAATATATGAATGTATAAATAAACATATTATTCCCATAGATTAATATATGCATAATTAATATATATTAAGCATAGGTAATACTCCTACAGATGAAATATTAATAATATATTGATATATACATCAGCAGATTAATTTTATAAATATAAACTATATGTCTATTAATATATACAGGAATAGATTAGTTTTCTATATTAATATGTGCATTTAAAGATGATTATTCATATATATTAATAAGTACACAAATTGATTCATCCCATCTATTAATATCCACATAAAACTCTGTCCATGAACATCTTCAGAAAGGGATTAATCCCAAATATGAATGTATAATGAGATTATTAATTACATATTAACATATCCACAAAGTGCTTAATCCTGTGTTTCTGGGTTCCCCCCCAAAATGAGCAAATCTCCATTAATTGCCCCAATTTCCTCTTCCTAACGTGGGATTTTCCTCCCGTTTCCGGCAGGAAAAGAGGAGCTGGAAACCAGGATAGGTAAGGATGGAAGGACCTTGGTCCTCCAAGGGGTTCCAAGGGTGGGTCCTCCAAGGGTGGGTCCTCCAAGGGGTTCCAAGGGTGGGTCCTCCAAGGGTGGGTCCTCCAAGGGGTTCCAAGGGTGGGTCCTCCAAGGGTGGGTCCTCCAAGG